CTTTTCACGAGAGAACCAAACCTCATCACCACCGGAGACAAGTGGCTTCCAAAACCAGTCGGCCACTTGGTTGACGTGCGCGCCGGCAGCAGGCACCTGGTCCATAGCACACGGGGCCCAGCTTGCGGACCTAGGCTCACAGGTGAGCGTCTCAAGATCCCAGGAGGCACCCTGTTGGAAGATGGGACGGGTCTGGTCCGTCCTCTCCTCCCAGAAGAGGTGTGGGAAATGCAAGGGGGCCTCGCAGAGGATTGGCGTTCCGCCGACTCGAAGAGAAAGGATCGCATGATAGCAGCTGCAGTCCGGGAGCCAGGCTGGCAAGTGGCTATGAGTCTCATGCAGGCTCTGACTGGAACCGATGGGAAGGCAGGAGTCCTGGACCCCGATGAGATCCAAGCCCACGAGCAACTAGAGGTCTGGCTGCGAGCGTGGGGGAGGAACCCGAAGGCTCCCTCTTCCGAGCTTTTCCTTACTTCGTGGAAAGAGCCACGTGTGGCAGTGGCACCCACTCATGAGTTCGTGGGAGCGACAACCCAGGCGAAAGCAGGCGGAGGCAAACGCACCACCGTGAAGCCAGCACTCAGTGAAGTGGAGAGGCTGGTCCAGCCCGCATCCAAAAGAGGCGGGACTACTGGGACCCCCCGCCCCCGAGGAGGGAGCACAGCAGAGCTTGACCAGGTAGCCATGGAAGCTGTCTTGGCCAAACTGGCTGATTCAACTCGCAGGGTCTATGCATCAGGCTGGAAGCAATGGGCGTTGTACAATGCCAGCTCGGGCACTCACCCGTTCCTTGACGGAGAAGAGCGCTCCGCTCGGACTGAAGACGAGCAGAGGTTGATTCGGTTTGTAGTATTTCTACATCAAGTCATGGGAAGGTCCATAGGTGGGGTCAGACAAAGGTTGTCAGCCATTCGTTATGCACATGTTGCGGCAGGATACCCTGATCCACTGGTCGGGCGACCTCGGTTGTGGGCAGCGGTTGCGGGTCTACAACGTTGGGAAGGCGCCCCAAAACGAAAGCTCCCTGTTACCCCCAACATGTTGCGATGGTTGGTCCAGCACTTGAAAAGTAGCGGTTTATCAGTTGTCGATCAAACCATGATCAAAGGAGCCCTTCTTACAGGTTGGTTTTTCATGATGCGGGCCAGTGAACTCTTGCCCAGTATCAATGGAGAAGACCCCATGAATAGGGCGCTCCGCCCAGCTGATGTTGCTTTCTTTTCGCATGGGCAGCCTACCATAGGCGCCAAGGCCGATGAAGTCGTAGTGCAGATTAGATCTTCAAAAACCGATCAGTATGGTAGGGGCCAAACACGGTCACACCACCGCTCCGGTGGAGATCTCTGCCCTGTTGAAGCCTTAGCCGCGCTACAGGTCCTACAGCCCCATCGGTGGCGCAGCCCTGAAGACGAGGCGCCTTTGTTCCGCTATGAAGACGGGACGGGGCTTGACAGAGAGGGCATCACCCATTTCATCAAGATAGCTGCATTGGCCGCCGGGTTTCCTGGCGAACTCGCTGGTTCACACTCACTACGTAAGGGGGGAGCCACTGCATTTTTCGCAAGTACTGGGGACTTAGAAAGGCTTAAGAGGTACGGTGGTTGGTCATCCGATGCTGTTCATGCTTACCTTTATGAAGATCATACCGCTCAGAAAGGGATTTCAGAAGGGATGTTGGGTACCAGCCTCATTACACTCCCCAGCCAAAAAGACCCCGGGGTCCGTAGGCATCCAGCGGTTGTTCCAACTGAACCCCAAGAGTCCTATCCTGGTTTATTGGGGGTCCCTCAAGATGAGTTATTCCATAACAGTCATGGAGGATCAAACCCTTTTAGCAGCCCAGTTGCCACGAAGCGAACATCCAGAGCTCCTCGAGGCTCAAACACCAATCGTGCATTTTCGTGGGCACCAGATCGTAAGGTATCGTTTGCAGTGAAGGCTGGTGCTATGGATGCTACTGATGAAAGTGCCGATGGGGGACGAAAGCCAGCAGCTCCAGATCGAGCCAATGCAGCGAACCTCTTTGTAGCAGCTCACCCAGGACTAGATCTTTATCAATTCCTGGGTGTTCCACCCGGTGCGACTCCAGCTCAGGTGCTCACCGCATATCGTCGCAGGTCCCGTGAGACTCATCCAGACCGCTTTGCAACTGCTGGGGAAGATGTCCAGAAAGCCAAAGGAGAGGAGTTTAAGATGTTGGGAATGGTCCGAGAGATCCTCTTGGATCCACTGATGGCCACTCAATACATGAGGTGGAGACAAGAGCAAATTGCTGCAAAGCATGGGCGAGGCCGTTCCCCAGTTGTTCCAGCTGGTGTCTATGCCAAGCAAGCTTCATCATTCCAACAAGCCAGATCAAGTTTTGATCGGTCCTCCACTCCTGCTGGCGCAGGAGCCAGCAGCTCGGGAGGAGCAGGCCGGGAGGTGCCTCGTAAACCGCCCCCCCCTTCACAGGGATATCCTGGAGGAGGAGCGCAAGGAGGACCGCCCCCAGCCAAAGCCCCTCCTGCTCCAGCAGGGACCGCGCAAAAGCCAAGGAAACCTCCACCGCCCGCGAATCCGCCTACTCCGAGCTCAAGTGCGAAGCCAAGGAAAGCACCGCCACCAAGAAATGATGATGGGAGGCCCAGAGGACCTACCACCCCACCAATGCAAAAAATGGCACCCACGCAAGCTATTCCAAAGGGAGCACCGCCAACACCGGCCAAGCATTTCCCCAGGGCGACCCAACCATACACTGGAGGGGGCATGGTGGACGATTTGCGAGTTCCTCGCATCGCACTGGCAGATGCAGGGGTGAAACGATCAGACGCTCCGTCTGAGTCTTGGTGGTCAGAGACGTCATCCAGATATAGGGCCCCTTCGAGCTGGTTGGAGCCCGGGTCTGAGCCTTGGGTCGAAGATGACCTTCCACCGGAGAGCACCGTCCCAGACAACGAGGATGACTATGTGTATGTTGAGGTGGAAGCTGAAGACGATGACATGGACATCCTCCAAGACCACCAATTCGATGAAGAAGATTGGGACGAGCCGGCATGGGAAGAGCTCCCTGAGGAGGGGACCGGGTCTGAGCAAGTCTTCCAAACCTTCGATCAAGCCGTGATGCAAGGACTGCTCCAGTTCATGGATTTCGTGAACAGAGGACGGGCCAAGATGCTGATTGAAGGTGCTCCACCTATGACTTCTGTCCCAAAAGAGGTCCGGGAGGCATGTTTGGGAGACCATCCGGGGCTTCTAAAAATGCATCCCAGCGCAAAAGCATGGCTAATGGCAGGGACGAAAGGTGTCGAATTCAAGAAGCCACCACCTCCTAAGCCTCCCATGCTTTCGGCTCCCCCAAAGGTGGCTCCGCCGCCACTTCCAAAGCCAGCTCATCCAGAACAGGTACCTGAGCCAAAGGAGCCGCCGAAAGCCCTAGCCCCCAAACCAGTTCCTCCAGTGCTGATGCAGAAGACACCAGCACCAAAGAAGCCCCCTCCGCCACTGCCAGCAGCCAACTATGCCATGCCGGCAAGAGCTATGGGACTCGGTTCAGGCGCAACAGCATCATCTTCTGAGGGCGCTCCGCCCACTGAGGTGAACCACTTTGGGTTTGACGAGTCTGAAGTCGACTATGGTGATGACGATGATCGAACCCCTGAGGAGAAGGCAGAAGATGAGGAGCTGCTCGAGAAGACCAAGACGAAAGTGGAAGCTTTCCTGCGAGCACCCCCAGAGATGAGGAAGACGCTTCGCTCCCAAGCATGGAAGCGGTGCAAGAGCAAACTGGAGGAGCTCAACTTTGAGTTCAGCACTCGTCCACTGCCCGAAATGCACCCAGGCAAATTCGAGAAGGATCTCAAGGATGGCTTCACCTATGCGGAGGCCAAACAACGCCAAAAGGGCCGGCAACGGGCCGCCCGACATCAGCGAGCCTTGGCTGAAATGGAGGGTGCCTCCTTTGAGGATTTCCCGAAATCCTGGTCACATGGGTATTCCAAGCAAGTCCTGAAGCCGGGTTTCCTCGAAGAGAAGAACAAGGAGCGGGCCCGCCGAAAAGCTACAAAGGCCAACTATCGATCCGATAGATCACGCAGCACTCCACCACCTCGCCAGTCAGCTGCTCCAGCTGCTGCATCCAACCAGGCTGAAGCTGAAAGCACGGCCAACTGGGAAGCAGGAAGTCAATGGCACGACTGGCAAGCGAGACGCAGCAGTGAGTGGCAACGGCATCAACCAGATGTCACACAACGGAGAGATGCAAATGCCGCAGACGATGACGACTGGGGCAACTGGACCAGAGATGGGCAACGAGGCAGCAACCAAGATGGCTGGTCCAGCTATGACTATGGAAACCATCAGGATCGACAGTGGAACCAGTGAGACTTTGCCGTGGCAATTCTGCATTCATCCGTGTTCCATGGAGGCTTCAACGTACAGGTTGCCTACTGAGAGCCGGGGAATGTCTGAGGCAGCCTTGATTCTTTGTTTCACGGTCGATACCATGTGGGTTTTCTTTTGCATGTCCATTGTAGATTTTTATTTGGCGGATGCCCATGCCTATTTCGGGGGGATATGCCGCTGACAGAATGTCGGCTGGCAAGTCTCTCTGGGTGAGTGGTTTGTACAGAGACTGCACCACTCGTCACAGACAAAAATAGGAGTCGTGAGCGCTCCGCTTGTTTTGGTAGCATGTCTCTAGCTAACTTGGATGTTCACTAGAACGGAGGGTTAGCGTGTTTTGCTACTGTCATTTTGGGCTCAAGTCTTTGCCCATTTTGATTGTTGGCCCTCCCACCCACCCGGGGGGATATGCCGCTGACAGAATGTCGGCTGGCAAGTCTCTCTGGGTGAGTGGTTTGTACAGAGACTGCACCACTCGTCACAGACAAAAATAGGAGTCGTGAGCGCTCCGCTTGTTTTGGTAGCATGTCTCTAGCTAACATTACACACATGAATGAAATCAAATGCCCATCAATTCTATCCTCATCATGGTTACATTGTGGTTAAATAAATCCCTCCTATCCATCGCAGTGGAACCCAACGCCGCATCCCCAGGTCTGGCTCGCCTTTACAGTCCCATCATCCTGGTCCTCGGGAGGTTTTTCTTCTTCCTTCACGTCCTGCACCGGCCATCTTAAAATATTAAAATTTTAAATGAACCACATTTGATATTTGATGATTGCCACAACATTGTGATATTTGATGGTTTCCAGCATCCCATCCCGTTTTTGATATTAGATGAACCATGTTGATTCAGCGGGAATCATCAAATATCAAAATCCCAGTCTCAAGGATGTTGTTTCCACACAAGCATTTGTATTGATAATATATCTGATAGATATGATAGGCAGCAGATATGACGAAGGTGATTTCACACCAGCTACGTTGTATGTAACCCTGGATAGAGGGGTTTAAGGGAAAAAAGAAACAACTCCCGGCCCGGCCCATCGGAATGACACTGTGGAAAACTCCAAGAGACCAGTCCTGCTCAGTGTCTGCTCGACCGTCTGAGCTGGTATGCGTGGAAGCTCCGACGCCAACCTCCTGGTTCAACCTCCAGCAATTGGAGGGATTCAACATGATACAGCACAAAATGCACAACAAAAAACGTGAATAATCTTACTGGCATCGGCAAAATTCTGGAAGATCTGTCCTGTTGATTTCAAGCGATTTCAAGCATGGCACTATCTGGGTACAGGCTAAAACTCATGGACCCACAAAATGGTGCTCTGTTTGGCATGAAACCATCCATTCTTGGGGTGGGCGCAAATTTCCAACCATCAATTTTTGGGTCAAAAGTAACCATCAAAAGATCCACACCCATTTGCGTCAAGAGAAACATTAAGAGTAGAGATTAAGCATGATGTCCAAGATGCTTGACATTTCTACTGTTTGGCAACGATTTTCTTTTCACTGGCCAACCAATATCCAGCCGATTACCCATGCAGAGTAGCAACATTGCTGCCGCTGCAGGCGCTTCGGTGGGCGCCTGGCATCACGGTCTGTGGGGGCCAGCGTTCCCTTGATACAAACAACCAACATCCTGCCAAAACCGATCCCATCCATGTTCAATATGGATGTATGTATGTATATATATATATATATATTGTGTATATATATATTATACACAACTTTGTATACATTCGATAGATGTCACATCATGATCTCATCATTCTGCCCCGCCTGATCCATCAAAGCCTTCGGCGGCGCAGCGGCAGCGGGCAGCACAGCGCTTCCAGCATTCAGACGCTGCAGTGCCATGGAAGCGACTTCCTCCTCCGCTTCCTGAAGACGGTGTTGTGCAGCTACTTTCATGGGATTTTAGTGGTGTTTTTATGCCATTTCATGCGATTGAATGGTGATTTAATGGAGTTTCATGGGACTTTATGGGACAATGGTGATATCATGGGCTTATAGAATGAGAGTATAATAATCCCTTCACCCTGATATTAAACATCCACCATATGATATGGTTTTGTTGGGATTTACACATACTTGGGACCATAGATTAGGGGGATGGGATTATCTATATAGGAACGGATTAAAGCCTATGCCTATGACTGCGTATTCTGACCAAACAAACCCAACTCTTATTCATTACTGGTTAAAATTTGGACTTGTTTCTTTACTGTCGCCAACCTCAATGGTTGCGAAATGTAGCCATTCCATGTCAAGTCATCTGCCATCACCAGCATGCAAGATATCTCAACCGTCACTGTACGCATCACCAAGATTGCAAGCAAATCTACCCATGCAATAAAGTCCCATTTTGTTGGGATTAAACTTGGCTAACTCCATCCCCTGATCATATTAAATACCTCTAATTCTTGGGACCCCAATCAATGAATAGATCCAATATCAAACCTGGCTTTGTGAGGAATTTCAGAAATTAGATTATTTGATTTGTGGATTTAAGATGATTTAAGGGATTCAATTTGATTAAACCTCCGTTGTTTTTGCTTTGCTATAACCCCTTGACCTTGGCAGGGCCACAAGTCGACTCCTTGACGCATTTCTTCGTCTTGATTGGAAAGGGCCGGCTGTCGATGGTCAAAGCCTCACCTGGCGAACGGAACGGCGCAACTGTGACGTTTTTGCATGTTTTTGTCAAGGGTCAAAAACATGATATACGGTTTGTGGTCATCCAACCCATAACGGGAATGCAACTTTTGACCACAATATATAAAATATGAAGAATTGTCTGGATATGTAGGCGATTTACATCAACAGTGGGAGAATAATCCTACGAACAAATCAAGTTGAACCATATACAACGATGCGTAATATGACGTAGTAGTATGTATCATGTATTGTTTTATATTGTTTTAGGAGGGTAAACCTGGTGGTTTATTTTGTGAGTTCATTCATGCAGAAAATGGGGAGAGTTGTAAGCAACTAAACATGCGGTTAACACCAGCCTTTCAACGGTTTTTCTTTTTTGGAACTGTCACGTCAAATTTCTCGATTCTTTCCGAAGCGAATGGCGTAAACGCTGCATCAGATGGAATGATTTCTGATCCCCTTCACCGCCTCCTACAACATGAGCACCCACTCGAAGTCGAATGATGTAGCCATTCTCCAACAGAATGGGCTCGTAGAATAAATCCTGGTTTCGCGACATCCCATCATCCGCTTGGATTCTGCGCTCACCAATCTCTCAGGAGGGTTTGTGAAGCCGATAAATAAAACTTGTTATTGCCTCATAAAGAAGGTCACCAAACAAGATTGTCCAAACTGACTGCCACTCCAAAAACAACGCCCCGCATCCTGCGGGGTCTGCCGTCTCATCTTTTTCCTGAGACGGATGGAGCATGGGATTGAGCAAATGTTTCTCAGAAAGCAAAGTTTCAAGACTCAAGAATAGGGACCGTTTTCACTCTTGAACAAGGCGTCACAACCCTTTCCTCCTGCTCTCATGTTTGTCCATCTTCACTTCTGTTCATCTTAACTGTTTTACTCATCGTGTACAAATCAAGAATAAATATGGAAAAACACTTCAGCAGATTTCTCTCGGAAACAAAGTTTCGCGGCTGAAAAATAACAACTGTTTTCACTCTTGAAGACAATGCTGAGGGACTAAAAAGTAGGGACTCTTTCACTCTTGAAAACAATACTGAGGGACTAAAAAGTAGGGACCGTTTTACTCTTGAAAACAATGTTGGGCGCTGAAAAGTAGGGTCTCTTTTCATTATTGAACAACATAACATCTCTCATTTTTGTTTGCTTTGGGAGAGGAACTGACCCATCTCCACATTGGATCATCCCAAAAGTCAAATGCCTGGCAAAAAAAACGGCATCTGCTCTGGATCATCTGGGGCGATTCCTGCTACGGTTCTCTCCGCTTGGCTCCTACATCTAGATTCTATTTGTACTTTTCCAATTCTTTATCGAGGCCATTGCTGAACACAACAACGGAAGCTTTCCCCCGATTTTGGGGCTCAGAAATAGGAACTTTGCCGCAAAATCGTGTGCCAAGGCACTTGCTGCTTTTTGCCCGCCCCTGTACTGTGTTTTTTCATCTTTCCCTTCCGTTCATGTTCATCCAAACAAATTCGAAACAAATGCGAAACAAACAACCGCAATATCGTTTCCCTCATCTGTCGCTACGGTGACAGCTGTACACCCAAGGAGAGTTTTGGGAACTGTGGTTCAAAAGCCAAGAATTACACCCTGAAGTAGCGAAACTGGCAGGGTACAATCAGATTATGGTGGGTATGGTTTTACAAAAACATCTTTTGGTGTAAAGCTGACTCAACGATTTTTGAATAGCACATCGACGGCACAAAGGTGAGACATCAGCCTGCTAAGGGGTAGAGCTTTGGTATGGAATGATAGATACCGAGTGTCCACAACATGCAGAAATCAGTTTACATACCGAGTATTTCTTGTAATACCTCTGTTCTACCGTGTTGCCCTTTTCAAATGCCTGCTTTGAACCATCCAGATCAACTGTCCCTTGAGTGTTTTTTCCTTCAGCAACTGCAGTGCCATTTCCATGCGAAGCCTACGACTCACGCATGGGAGGAGGACACGCCATTCCCAAAATATGAGAAAAGACACTCAAGGGAAAACGATTGAGAAGATGGCCAATCTTAGATACAGTGCAGAAACTCAAATTCTTGGCCAGGTATGAAATACTCCACTGTTCATGGCAAAAAATCAAGTCTCAAACTGCCCGACCAAGGTTTACCCTGAAATGATGATGACCCAGCCATACTTCTCACTCTCGCCAAGACACAAGACGATCTCTTGCAAGGTCCCCTGGCGGAAAAGGATGGTGAGTCATTTCGCCATGAACACTGATGTTCAGATCTAGAATGAGTAAATTTCTATCGAAAGTTCGTCTGCCCTCTTGTCATGTATTTAAAAAGTGAGAAACGTGCTGCTGTGCACTAAACAACCAGAAAAACCCAAAGATGAGAATATTGTTCATCTTTTCACACATCTCCAAAAACTGCCTGGGTATCCTCTATCTTTGGGACGCGCAAGGCCTTGGGATTCGTAAATTTCTCCACGGGTGGAGGCAGCGTTGCCAGTGCTGACGCAGCGCCCTCTGCCGCAGCGCCAGCGGCAGAGGGCGCTGGCGTCGGACTCGGCGTCTCGGGAGGTGGCACAGCGATCATCGGCGCACCTGCAACTTGGAAGTCACTTGGTGACACGAAGGGAAAATCTTTGTGTATGTCTAGATATGCATTAGGCGTATCGTGTATATATATATACATATTCATTTGTCATCATTTCTCTAGTTGTTTATCTTTAGTGAATGGACAATGTCTCATATAAGTATATATATATACGCATATATATATATGTATTATATATATATGAATGTCTTGAAAATACCTCGAAGGCCGTCAGCTATCATTACATGTTTGTTGGACCTGAATGTATGTTCATGACAAGCAAGCAAACCACCAGAAAATGCCAACAAACAGTCTCTCATATTTGTTACGCACCTCATTGCATCCCCAGGAATATCCAATTACATCCAGGATTGTGAAGGCGAATCTTAACCATCTATTAGATCTATCGTTGACACGGTCACCTTTTGAATCCCCATGAGATGTCCCCAATCGATGCGGTTCGTCGTTTGATCCGTTTCCAGGCCTGGCAAAGTGGTCAAGTATCGCAGGGCTGCATCGCTGGCTGAATGCTCTGCATCCTGCCACAGGGAAACATGGAAACATGGAAATGGGGACCTCAAATTGAAGTGGATCATATGGGTAAATGACCATGACTTTGTAATTAAATTAGGAAAAGGGAAAATGAAAATTATCAATCTGCCCAATTTTTTTGCAACTGCAAAATGGGGAGATTAAACCAACCATACACCCAAGGGACCACAGACATACAGTATATGGAATTAAACTAAGGTGATTCGTAAAAAAACTCTTTCTCAGCAACAAATCATCCACATTTTGAGCTGTTCCGCTCATACATGCCTGTTGTTTGAGGTTGTTTGAGTGATTGGTTGACTATGACGGGCGACAATGAAGGTAACCGGTATGTCAAACCCACCAAAAAGTATTTGCCCCAAAAGTGCCTCTTCGTGGCTAATCTTCCAATAACATGAAACCATGAACGCAAGTTTTGACCACAATATGATACACATTCCCGGCCCAAAATCAACATCAACTTTCATCAACCACCCACATTCTAAGGTTTCTGTGTTCTACACCATTTTGAATCCGTGAATGTTTTTTTGCCAATATATGTATGCATACATAACATAAACCATCGGAAGCCGATCAACCGCTCGCCAACCACTCAGAGGCTGTCCTGCTTGTTGGGTTTCTGCTCCCCACAGAAGGCCATCCTTTCGCCAGGTCGGCCACCGAGGTTTTTCAGCAGCAGCGTAGAAACGAAGAGCGGCGTACCCCTCGGACGTTTTCAGCTGGGGAGAGGATTACCAGCAACACTTGGCAGGTGGGGTTTAAGCAAACAAAACATGCATCGACCAACCAAAATAAACATTAAGAAACACAATTAGGCCCGTGAAAAACCTTCGGTTTAAAACGAAAACCTACGGGAAACCAGGGTTTGAACCATCAAAACACAGGGGCGTTCTGTCAACATTGCCTAGTCTTTATATCCCTTGATCCAATGCCAGGGCAAATGTCATCGGGATGCAAATTGATGGGGAGGCGATGATCAAAGGTGCTTGTTACTAGAATGATACACGATATGACCTCAAAAAATTGTTTTTCTGCCAGCTAACTGGCGATACAGTATATACCAACTTCGAATTTAACATGTGGAATGCACATGGCATGCCTGATATGTAATTTTCCCCAAAATGGGGAGGTGATAACTAGCAACCATGGGATGATATGAAAATCATTCGGCATTCATCATATTTAAGAACTCAAGTATTGGGTTTGATCATCTTCAACCACATGGATTGGGGAATGGAAAACCGAATGGTCATTGCTCTTGTTACCGTATCAATTTTTGTGGTATTGCCGATCGTCTCTAGAGCCCAAGCACCCAGTTGTATGTGGAACCCATTTGACTCGGGAGACGTGAAGCTGGGCCCCCTCGAAATGAGACGTCTTGTGAAACAGTTCGACCAAATTGAATCACAGAGCATCTAAAACATTATCTCATTTCATTGCACTGATTGGTTGATTGGGGTTCCTATTGTGAGTTGTAGCAATCAGTATTGCACCAGGCACCAGGTGATTTTACCTGCTGAGATCAAGGCAGGGGTTTGTCATCTATTTTTTCCCCGAGTTATGGTCTTCCTTATTTTCTCCCATATGTTCTTCCTTTCTTTCTCCATCATTTTCTTCCCTATGATCTTCCCTTCTTTCGCCCATATTTTCTTCCTCGCTCTCTGGTGTTTTCTCCTACTCTTTCCCTGACTTTCTACCCTATCTCTACATGTTCTTCCTTATTTTCCCCCCTATAATCTGTTTCTCTTTTTCATCCTGTATTTTCTCCCCGCATCAGGCCGGAGAGTATGGTAATCTTTATGGCTGTGGCTTTAGATCCACCTCAAACTGCACAGATACAAAATGGCCAAATCTGCAGTTCTGCTAGTCCCTCGTGCTAAACCTTGAAGTATGCCGCTCAATGGGGGTCGGTATGGGCCAAAACACTGTGCCTTTCATGTCTGGATTTTGCGCCCATACATGCTGAGAAGCTGGAAAATCCACTGCGCATGCGTGTTTCTTCTCAAACTGTTTGGGCTTTCAAGAAGCATCACTCATGTCGAACATGTCAAAGCCGCAAAAAAAATGTTTTCCTGGTGGCCCTTCAGGTTTGATGAGCAGCAGCAAGATCCTCAGCACGGGGATGACGGGGCACAGGTAGTGCACGCACGTCTGACATGCGGCATACATCCAAAAGTGCGACTTGACTTGATATGGGAAAGGATGCTCAAGGAGCAGTAGGAGCAGTAATAGCAGTACGAGCAGAGTAGTCGAGCCAGCCTCCTCCCGACGGTTGGAAGATGATTCAGCCAACCCCAATGGCCCCACGACGCATTGATAGATGATCCTCAAGGGATTCTAGGG